GAGGGTCTCCAGGCAAACTAGCAATACCTGAAAAGGTCCCTACAGGATGAGGCTCCCTGGAAAGCTCTCTGTTGGTCGTCAGATATTGGGCCTTACAATAAAGGAGTAAAACTTTTGTGGGTTTCTCAGTGCTCCTGTCATAAACCTGACCTTCTGGACTCTGGACATATTAAGAGGATCAGGTCTAGAGACATTCGTCCTGCCAATTGCTTATTTCCTAGAGCATAATAAAACGTCACTGATCTCCCTAAGAAGGCCAAAGATTCCAGCCCAGATTAGCCCCTCAGGTTAAGCCTCCAGTCCCTGGGAGTGGGGGGGCCTTCTCCTTTTAGGTACAGTCAGACCTTCATGTCTGTGGGTTCCACATACATGGACCTCAACCAACTGGGGCTTGAAAATATTTGAAAGAAAAAAGAAGATAATTACACCTGTAATGAACAGATAGACATTATTTTTCTTGTAATTAATCCCTAAACAATATAGTATAAATAGCATTTATATTGTTTTAGGTATTATAAGTAATTGAGGGGTGATTTAACGTATACTGGAGGATGTGTATAAGTTATATGCCAATACTCCAGCATTTTCTATAAGGAACTTGAGTGCTCACTTTGATATCTGAGGGGTTCCTGGACACTCCCATGGATACTGAGGGATGACTGTAATCACAGTTCAAGGAGGAAGGAGGCTTGGAGACTTGGAAACAGGGTCTAGGTTTTAAAGGGCCCGATACATGAGACAATCTGGCTCCTCCAGAGGGGGTGTTATTTCCATTCAAAAGTGTGACTCCAGCCCATTACACTTCTTTGAGTGTGACTCCAGCCCATTACACTTCTTTGAGTGTGACTCCAGCCCATTACACTTCTTTGAGTGTGACTCCAGCCCATTACACTTCTTTGAGTGTGACTCCAGCCCATTACACTTCTTTGAGTGTGACTCCAGCCCATTACACTTGTTAGGAGTGCCTGGCAGAACGATTGCCCTGGGTCTTATGACACCCCAGGAGAAATGACTATGGTAAGGGGACCTACATACTTATTGTTTACCATGAGGTTTTAATAAGAAATCCGTCTCTGACCCAGACAAATTCATGTGCATAATTAGGATAATTTTAATAAAGATGAACATTAAATATAAATATCTATTACTTTTCCCCATATACATATACTATAATATAAATGAAAATGTTTTAATTATTCCTTGCCTTCAGATTAAATCTAAGGGGAAGGCTTCTTTAATTAGACTGATGTATAAAACATTCTCAGATTCATAAAATATAAAATGAAAACTTTCATGTCAAGTAATGACTCTGTTGGTCACTGGGGAAATGAAAACTCCTCTTAAAAGTATATTTTTAAATGTAGGTTGATGCTTTTAAGTTCTTTTTTAGTCTAGGAGAGGCAGCTAATTATTCAGGCAAGAGCAGTCTCTTTGAGGATTGGAGGCAAAGGATAAACGAGAACACAGACATTTGGGACTGCAAACAGTAAGAGGTGACACTGAAAAAGACTTGAACAAAAAAGGCCCTGTAGGGATTGATTGGTTAAAATGGGGACACAATTCTAGAACAGAGATCAGATGTAAGCAGATTTGTTCTCAACTAAGTTCTGTTGCTTCAAATGGCATGATGGCAGCCACAATTCAATTGAAAGAAAAATGCATAGGGATGGAGAGATAAAGAGCAAACAAGGGCTTGAGGACAACTCCTAGAAAACAACTTTAGCCAAGTGCAGGCACATCAAATTGACAGGAAACAAACAAATTAGAAGATTCCCAAAGCCCCCCAGATGTGGCCCTGGGGGGATGATGTCAAGGGAAGGGCACCCACAGAGGGTCCAGCCAGCGTCAAACAATGTCACACAAGGAAATCTCCCCAGATAGCAGAACTGGAGTTAATTGAGGGTCTTTCCACACCCTTCTGGAAAAAATGTGCCTTCTTCTACAACTTGGCCATCAGGATTTCATCACTGCTATGGATCAGTGACTGCCGTGTGGATCCCAAGCTTCCCTTTTGTCAGCTGCAGTTTTTCTTGAGGTTATTCTAATCATGCCCCACCATCGTATACTAGTATATACATGAGGAGGCAGATAGCTTGTTTTAAATTTTGTAAGCAGGTGGGCCAAAAGGATGAAACGCTGACGGAGAAAACTTCGTCATACCCACTTTGAGCTGAGTTTAACTTTGGACTGTCTCTTGGGGAGAAAAATGCATGAGTTTTACTTGTACAAAAAAATGCATTTAAACATTTGGTGGTCAGAGGGGTGGACAGAAATGTGTATTGTACCCTCTATAATATGCAGTTGTCACTGGGAAGAGGCTACAGGGTTACAGCAGCTATACTTACTGTAGCAAATATTCATAGTGGCAAGTATTAACTATGAGTAACAAAATACAAATTTCATTATTCATTTCTCTATGGTAAGGTATTGAAAAGAGCATGTGATTTTCTTTCTCGGCTAAAGAATGTACTTTGAATTTAAATATCTAGAATAGTAGTACACTCTCAATTTTCCCTCTGTCAGTTTGTAAGTCGGAGATATCAAGAACAGAAAGTCAGTAAAGAAAACCATCTTGTTCCTTTCATATTCAGATTTAGTTCTATATCTTCAGGATTCTTTGGGAATCTATGTACTTCTTGTTATAAAGGCCATATATAACATGTCATGAAAAGGATACTGCATAGAGGGAAACTCAAAAAATGTTTCAGAAAACTACTGAGTAACCTTTAGCAAACTCCTGTAAGGAATTTTCCAAAATAAACAAATTTTTATACGTAAAGACCTGAAGATCTGAGAAAACTAAAAAGGCCACTACCAGTGACCAGGTATTAATTTGTTCAACTCCCCTACATTTAAACATTCGTGTGTGCATTATGTGCAATAACTAATAAATTAGTAAATCTTATCTATGAATGAAAGTGATGTATCACAAAATAAGTATCAAAAAATTAATTGTTGCAGTTACCAATGTTCCTGTAAAATAAACTATGATCATAAATCTTCAAAGCATAGTATGGATAAAATCGCCTCATGTATATCATTACACATTTGGTGACCTTAATAAATTATTTCTTAAACATAAGTAATGAGAATTTAAATTCACACACCGCTACTTAAAATGATCAATGTAAAAAGGATTTTACTATAAATAATATATTAAAGGCTGTGGGACCATATTATAATATTGAGCATTGAACACAGAGTCACTCAACTTGCAAAACATATGGGCAGGACCCCCCAGTAGCTTTGGAAGGAAACCTCAGCTTTATCTTGTATAACTTAGTGATGACCATATGTATCAAAATGTCTGCTCTACATGACGGGCAATTATTGGTCAGTTTAAAACATTGTCACATGGAAATAATTTATGTTTCCTTATGCCCAACGCAATAATGTTGGGGTCGGGAGTTGGGGAAGAGATTATAGAAGCCTTGATTACTCTTTGTGAAATATACAATTGCGTCAAACATTTGCAGTATGTTAAGGCTGTTGGCAACTAAAGGGAAATCAGGAAAAAATTAAAATATCATATTTTGTTAGCAGTTTCAAGAATGAAAAAAAATGAAATCACTGTATTTTGTGTATGAAGCAGGAAGACCATAATTATCTCTCTACCCCCTTCTTCCTCTCTTCTCCTTCTGGAACTTACACAACTAGTGTGTTGCCTGCGTGAGGCGTCCCACAGGCTCCTAAGGCTCGGTTTGCTTTTCTTTAATCCATTTTCTTTCTGTTCCTTGGCCTCAACAGTTTCCCTGCCATGTCTTTAAAGTTTGCCAATCCTTCTGCCTGCTCAAATCTATCTTTGAATCTTTGCAAATTTTCATTTTAATACTTTTTAGTTTTAGAATTTATTTTGGTTTATTCTTAGTTTTTTTCTATTAATTTTTGTTATTACTATTTTATTCGTGTGTCATTTCCTTGACATTCTCCATGCCTCACTTTGAAAATAGATTTTCAAAGTCTTGTAAGCATGTTCACCACTTGGTCCTAGTCAATGTCAGTTTCTGTTGCTTTTGTTAATAGGTTATACTTTCACATTTAAAAAAATATCTTGTGATTTTTTTGGTTGAAAACTGGACATTTGAATATAATAATGGGCCAACTCTGGAAGTCAAATTATCCTCTTTCGCCTTTTAAAAACAATCTTGCTATTTTTCTTAATGTTGTGAGTTGCTGTGGGTTGTCTCTGTGCCGGGATCAGCCTGAACAGTGAACTTCAGGCCTTCTCAGCTTGGTTCTGAGCCAATACCTTGCAGACTGACTTTTTTTTTTTTTGAAGTTGAGTCTCGTCCTGTCACCCAGGCTCGAGTACAGTGGTGGGATCTCGGCTCACTGCAGCCTCCACTTCCCAGGCTCAAGCAATCCTCTCTCCTCAACCTCTTGAGTAGCTAGGACCACAGGCATGTGCCACCATGCTTGGCTAATTTTTGTATTTATTTTGGTAGAGATAGGGTCTCACCATGATAAGCCAGGGTGGTCTCGAACCCCTGGCCTCAAGTGATCTGCCTGCCTCTGCCTTCCAAAGTGCTGGGATTACAGAAGTCAGCCACCTTGCCCAGCATGCACAATGACTTTCTAATTTCTCCTATAAATATAGTTGCTTTTTGAATGTTTTTGTGTTTCATGTCTGACTCCCAAAAGGGAGAAACTAAGAATGTCAAAGGAGGAAGAAAAGTGCTGACCCTTTAAATACCCAGGCAGTCACTTCCACTGGAAAGGAGGGGCTTGCAGCAATGAGGGGAAGTGCACAAGAGCTCATCCTCTTTGTCTGCACCACTGTAATCGGAAGCACCAATCAGTGATTAGAGAAAAATAATCCTTGGTATTCTCACAATCCATGGAGAACGCGGTCCTTTATCCCACCTGCGTTCCCGTACCTGTGTGCAGGGTGCTCCAGGAATATGTGCCAGCTTCCAACCATGGGGATGGGTAGAGGCTGTGAGGCTGCTCCTGTGCTAAGAGCTGAAATCAACCGCAGTTAACTGTGCTTTACTGCCCAGGCCTTCCGCTGGAATTTGCAAGCTGTCCAGAGACTCAAGAATTCCAAAAGTTACGTCTGACAGATTCTGCCAATGCAGTTGCTGTCTTGTGGGGAGACAGATTCCCAGAGCTTCCTACTTTACCACACCGCAGATTCTGCATACTACAAATATACAGTAAGTTAGGGATACAATATGTGTACTAAATCAGTAAATTATAATCGTGAGTCAGTGTTGAAATACTGACCCTTTGAAAAATATATTTTCACTTTGATAATGGAAATATAATTATATTTATAGCCAAAGCTAACAAAATGTGAATTTTAGTTGCTTTTTGAAAGTCATGTTACAGGGAAGAAATTTTACATCCAGATGAAAACTGATTGGTTGCCATGCAGAACATAGTTATGTAAGAAGAAAAGCAGATGAGTTATAAGGGTTGAAAAGTAGATTAACACTCTATAATTTATAGGGAAGGCTATTTTTGAAGGCAAGCAGCTTGGAGCAAAATCCTGTTCCAGAAGATTAATTTTTAAAATTAATATATCTATTTATTTATCACCTGTGTTCCCTGAAGACTTGAAGAAGTTCCCAGAAAACATAGTTAAAATGCATAAAGACTGAAAGAAAATTGATGCTTACCTGGCATCGCCCTTTATGAGTGGTGATCAATATTCTGTGAAAGGCTATGAAAAATTGTATCAGAAATGCATAACATACTAGTATTATATCTACTGTGATTTTCTCTTTTATAAATATGAAAGACAGAATTGCTATTTGGGAGGAAAAAAATGTGGAGATTTTTCTACATCTATTTGATTGTTTCAAAATGAGCATGTCTAAAATAGAAAACATAGCTTATGTCCTTCCTTACCTCTAGAAGTCCATGGGCCATTTGCATTTGTCTTAGAGGCAGAAGTTGAGGTAGAGGCAGGGCTGAGAAAGGAATGCCAGGGCTCTCGAGGAAGTGTCTCATCTTTGCTCCCTCACACTCTTAGCCTTCAGACAGGCTGTGGATCTGTCCATTCATTTATTTGGCCCCTGACAGCCAAAAATAACCCTTTATGAGAAGCAGGAAAGTTAATGTCATCGCTAAAAATAAAAAAAAAGATGCATGAATGGATGAGAATTTAAATTGATTTGGTGGATATTACTGTACTAGACAGTTCTCCAGAGAAGTAGAATCAGTGGACACAGATACAGATATATACATATAGAATGAGATGTAAAGGACTGTCTGGCTCACACGATTTTGGTCGCTGGGGTCTTACGGTTTGCTGTCTGCAAGCTGAAGGCCCATGAAAGCCAGCAGCATGGTTCCAGTCCACACCCAAAGGCCTCAGAGAGAACCTGGGGAGCTGGTTGGGGCTGCCCAAGGTGGAGAGCTCCCATTCACGGTTGTCTTTTTCTCTTTCATGTTTACACACAGAGATTCACTCTTTGCACTGTAACAACCATCTTTTCTATCTCCCCCGATTTTAGTCAATAAAGATGTGAGAGAGAAACAAAATAATTTTCCACATACTAAAAAATAATACTATTTCTCTTCCCACTTTTCCCCTTTCTGACCATTTTTTCTGTGTCTCTCTTCTCTTCCTCGTAGTGGTCCTTGATGGTGGTCTTCAGCCATCTCACCCCTGTGCCTGCTGTAACAAGAGTGGTCTGGGAAGCTGCAGCAGTGGGAGGTGTCAGGCTCCTAGCCAGGTCATGAGCCCCTTTTGCTGGTCTGGGATCCTAAAAGAAAGCCCCCCAGTGACGGGCTTTTTGGAAGGCTTTGGATATTATCTGCGTTGATCACCTCACCTGGAGTGCATCCATCCTCAGGCATCCTCAGGCATCCTCAGGCATCCTCACGCAACCTCACGCAACCTCACGCACCCTCACGCAACCTCACGCAACCTCATGCATCCTCACGCAACCTCACGCATCCTCACGCAACCTCACGCATCCTCACGCATCCTCACGCATCCTCACTCAACCTCACGCATCCTCACACAACCTCACGCAACCTTACGCATCCTCACGCAACCTCACGCATCCTCACGCATCCTCACGCATTCTCATGCATCACGCAACCTCACGCATCCTCACGCATCACGTCCCTGGCCGGGCAGGCCACATCAGCTTCCCCAAGCCGTATCAGAATCCTGGCACTTTTTTTTTTTGGCTCCGTATTTTCCCAGTCCTTCAGAATTACTACTCGAAGCAAGTGACCAGTTTTGTGGAAGGAGGGATGTTTGCCATTCTTGTTTCACCATTTTACCTTCCTTGCTTCAAGGCAGAAAGAAAAGAAAACAAAGATTTAAGAAGTAATGCAACGATGGATTGGTGATTGTTTTCTCTCCAACGTTGAAGGACCACTTCTGAGCTACCCGGCAACATTCCTCCGCTGCAGGCTTCCTCTGGCTTCCTGGCTGGTGTCTGGTTTATATCACCATGTTTTCCTAAACATGGAATGCATGCTGTGCTTGGATATAAAATCTTCTTTTGATGGTATTTCAAACTTTATTCTTCCCAGTGGTCTACGACATCGTAAGCCCCGGGAGCTGAATGGTAGGATTGCGGGGGGCGTGGGGAGGCTGAGCCCTCTGGAAGCAGAATTCTGTGAAACAGATTCTGAGGGATGCACGCCGGGCAGACACGTTCAGGTTTGTGGACCTTAGTCAATCTCCTTTTTCTAGATCAAATCCACTTCTATTCTCTCATCTGTCAAAATCCTTTTGACTCCTCCAAGTAAACTGTTTTCCTAATAAAAACAAATACTTCTTCTTTCTCAACACTTACTCGTGCCTCTAGGAGGTCGTGATTATGGTCTACTGTCTTCGTTTTTAAAATGTCTCTCTCTCTCGATTGCTGCATCCTGGAGGAATCAGTTCTGATTAATCCCGATGCAACTCTTCTCCTGTCCCTCTGAACTATGCTGCAGCCCCAGTTACGTAAGGCACCTGTGCCCACTCCAGACCTCTGCTTCAAATCTTAGAATTTCTCTCTATTGCCCAAAGGAGAATGCCTAACTTCCTCACACGGTGTAGCAAACCACTCGTGATCTCATCCTTGCCAGTATTTTTAGCAGCACTTCCTGTGCTATTTCTTGAAATATACTCTGAGTCACGAACAATTACTTGCCATTTAACAATACACTATATACATCTTGACAATACGCTGTATACATCTTCAGTCTCTTCCTGAAATATTTTTCTATTTTCCAAACTCTCCCTCCCTCACTGTCTTTTTTCCTTCCTTTTTTTCACCTTACCTTCCTTCCATTTTTTTCTCACATACAATCTTCTTAAACATCTGTTCTCCCACAGATACTCTCCGATGATGGGGATACACACATGGGTTTTATGTTTCTGCTTTTTCCAGATACATTAAATCGTTTATGCTTCCAAGATGTCTCCTTGTCATGTTACACTTTTGTTTTTTTTTGTTTTTTTTTTTTTTTGAGACAGAGTTTCGCTCTTGTTACCCAGGCTGGAGTGCAATGGCGCGATCTCGGCTCACCGCAACCTCCGCCTCCTGGGTTCAGGCAATTCTCCTGCCTCAGCCTCCTGAGTAGATGGGATTACAGGCACGCGCCACCATGCCCAGCTAATTTTTTGTATTTTTAGTAGAGACGGGGTTTCACCATGTTGACCTGGATGGTCTCAATCTCTTGACCTTGTGATCCACCTGCCTCGGCCTCCCAAAGTGCTGGGATTACAGGCGTGAGCCACCGCGCCCGGCCCCATGTTACACTTATTACTATATTGGTTAATTGTCACATAGCTTCTGTTTTGTTCATTTTTTTCTTAATTCCTCTGGGAGCCATGCTTATAATTCCTTCACTTAGGACACAGTACTTGTGTACTAGAAATATAACTTGTTTTTTATTCATCTCTTCAAAGCCCTTTCCTCTGGGAATGTTAAAAAAATATTAATTGAATAAAACATGCTGTGTAAAGAAAGTGATACCTTTTTGAAGTAGTGCGGATCACGAGAGCAAATACTGAGTCGCATTTCTGTCTCTTGACAGCTGTGGCAGTATCACCTTGTCATTCATTTCCTTCACCCTCATTTTTCTCCAGTGGAAAATTAGGGGATTGCTTTAGTTTTCCCCTGACATCCCTTTCTCCTACAATTCTACCAAGTGATTTGATATTGTGTGGGGGTTAACTCTGGTATTCCATCTCTTCATTTTGAAATCTAAAGAGTTCTGGAAATATTTTCTAAATAGAAAAGAAATATGTAATCATTATGTAGTTTCACTGTCTAGTCATCTTCAAGAGAAAATGTTCTTAAATTCATGTCTAGTGCCATTGAGACTGACTTAATCCTTATTTTATTCAATAAGCAACAGTTTTTTATGGAAAAATGTTTTTTCTAAAAGAAAAAATTAATAGTCTTTGAGGAGATGTATTGTATTGCTTAATTTTGCTTTTGTTCCAGTTTAAAATTAAAATGTAAAAATAGAGGTGAGGAAATTGAAACTTTTTCTTAAATAATTCTGCTATGAGTGTATGAAAGTTTGATACAAAGCTTTTCTTCAATTAATTATTCTAGTTTCAATGACTGGAAAAAGTGATGTAAAAGGAATAACAAGCACTAGCCCTGGCTTCCGGAACCTCCCAGGCATACGTTTTCTACAGTGTTCCTGTCTTATGTGATACGGTTCTGTTCTGTGTCCCCACCCAGATCTCATCTTGAATTATAATCCCCACGTGTGAGGGAGGGACTTGGTAGAGGGTGACTGAATCATGGGGGCAGTTCCCCTGTGCTGTTCTTATGATAGTGAGTGAGTTCTCACAAGAGCTGAGAGCTGATGGTTTAAAGGTATGTGGCAGTCTCCCTCGCTCCTTCTCTCTTCTACCTGCTACCTTGAAGAAGAAGGTGCTTGCTTCTCTTTCACCTTCTGCCATGATTATAAGTTTCCGGAGGCCTCCCCAGCCATGAAGAACTGTGGGTCAATCCCATTCTCAGGTAATTCTTGATATCAGTGTGAAAACCGAATAATACATTATGGATCTTATCCTTAATAAAGTTATTTTTTTCATGTTTCTTGAGAAGGAGAAACTTGAGAGTCCTAATGAAGACACCACCTCTCCCCCTAATGTGGTGACTAGCCTGCTTATAACCTAATGTTTTCCAAAATTCTGTGAGTTCAGTGCTACATATAGTCATTGTCATTATTCTTTTGAAATATTTGTATCATAACTGTAAATTCTGATTCAGCATATATTATTTATATTGTCCTTTATTAAAAAATGTATATCTCTGTGTCAAAATCCTATTTCCATTTTGAACATTCCTATTTAGTTTTGTTTTTATTTACTTTATTATTTTTGGAAAGGGCCTCATTCTGTTTCCCAGGCTGAACTACAGTGGTGTGACCATAGCTCACTGTGGCCTTGAACTAAAACAACCAGCGTGCCTCACCCTCCGGGGGAGCTGGGCACACACGCATGAGCCACCACACTTGACTAATTTTTAAAATTGTTTTATGGAGACAGGATCTCACTATGTTGCCCAGGTTGGCCTCCAAATCCTGGTCTCAGGCAACCCTCCTGCCTCAGCCTCCCAACGTACTGGGATTACATGCATGAGTCACTATGCCTTGACTGAACGTTCCTATTTTAAAATTGATTTTTAACATGTATTAATGGACTACTGCCAAATTTAGAGAACAAATGTAAGTGACACTTTTAAGAAATGATTTTTTTGGTAGTAAAATAATGAAAGCTAAATTGCAATTAATTATTAATTTATCCCTCTCATACGATTTGGCAAAAGTCTTCCTCACACTGAAGTAATAACATCCTTGATTATCTTTCTAAATTTGTCAGGTAATTCCCAGATGGTTTGGACATGTCACTTTGGTTCTTTTGGTTACATTCCATCACCTGTGAAATGAAGGGTTTTGACTAGATGAATGAGATTCTAATATTCACATTTAATTGCTAAATGTGACATTGGTTAGGACTAAATACTTAAAGGAAAATTCAATAGGAGGTTGAAGGAAGTGAAGAGAGAAACAAATATTAATGATAAACAGGAGAAAAAAATAACAGATTAGATAGATAGACAGACAGATAGATAGATAGATGATAGATAGATTAGACAGACAGATAGAAAGGTGATGGATAAATGATAGATTTTATAAATGCACTCAGTATTTTTCTTAGGTAACTTTATAGTATATATTTTTTCTTTCCTCCGAGAGCCTCAACCAACCACATGAGGAAGCCGAAGTGTGTTACAGCTGACAAATGCAGTCAAGTTAATCATGAATAACTATCAACTGCTTGTCAGCCTCAACTTTAAAAGTTTAATTTTAGAATTCCACATGGATATTGCTAGTCAGACAAAAAGAGAAAAGCAGATTTTAAGGCCTTACGAATTCTCATATGACATATATAACCTGAAGTTTAACCAGAAGCAAGATACAACATGAAGACTTTCTAATCCTTTGCCTCTTTTCCCCCTAGAAACATATTTATTATGCTATCAAAGTAGTTTTCATACGACATGCCAGCTCCTGATGGAAATATAGTAAAATATCTGTAATCTGTGTGGCGCTCGGAATTAGGAATGACAGAAAACATGAAAAAAGTTACTGGTATTCAAATCCTTTTTAAACATTATATATTGCTGTTTTGTCACAATACTACACTGTGTCTTTTATATAAACCTTATTTCCAGAGAGCAGAAATTATTCTGGTCTTGCTAATAATAAATGATGCTGCACTTGCTAAGTCACAAACTCTCCCAGTGTTAGTGTTTTCCATGGTGAAGTGGGATTAGTATGAAAATTAAATCAGACATGTAAAGCTCTAAGGATAGGACTCAACACACAGCATGTGGATGTGTTTTTTATTACCATGTTGTCAGTCAAACCCAGAGAGTTTCAACGAATTAACTAACATGGCAGAGTTTGCTAGTGGTAAGGTTATTATTAGAATTTAGGTCACTGTCCGTAATTTCTCTTCTTTTTGCCTAAAACTGCTCTCCTGGTTACAAGACAACTGGGAGAGGCAAAGGCTAAGTGCAGCTATCTGTGAGGAAAAAGAATGGAAAAGGTAAAAAGAATGTAAATGTGTTTTCTGCAAAACTGGAACCCACCATCTGGTGACTGAGAATGGAGTAGAGCGCAGGTTATAAAAGATCACAGCAGATGGCACGGCCCGGTTGTGAAGCAGGAATATTCTTCATAAGGAAGCAGGAGTATTTCTCCATCAGCTACTTAGGTGCTGACGCACGCTCCAGTTCTGACTATTGTCACTGGGCAAGGTCTCAGTGTTCCAGGCCCTCATAGCGGTCAGAGTCCTGTGCACTCTTTTGGGTGGTCTGGTTGAGGAGTTAGCACATCCGTCCCTTGGAGCCAGCAGCACCAGCAGCACCCAGGACCTTGCTCCAGAATCTGCCCACCAAATCCAGACTCCCGTAGACTCATTCCAGAGACACTGGAGTCTGCTCAGCGTCAGAGATTTATTGTTAGTCCTGGAGTTTTTTGCACCACTCGGATGTGTGTGTGTTTGGCAGGGTTTCTAGGTGTACAGCATGGACATCTTGAACGTTGCTGGATTCATAGGAAAAGGCCACAGTACAGGTGATGAACGTGTCTTCTGCATATAGAAATTAGAAAATCAAAAGTTTTCAGAGTGCTTCCTTTTGTTTCGTGTTGGAGATGTATGCTAATGCCAGATTGCAGTGTGTAACATCCTGTGGGGATCTCGCCAAAGCTCGTTCACGAGTTCCCACCTGGAGAGAGCCAAAGTGCATAAATTAAATGATGAATGCAAAGAACCAGGAACAGCTTGGAAGAAAGAAGCAAAATGTAAAAATGATATTCTTAGAGTATAATTTAATAATTCCTGAGCCAAAGCATGCCTTAGCATTCCACAGATTCTTGCTAATCCACCCATAAAAGGGGATATAGTACTCCCATCCTTATGTGGGAGAGCAAAAAATAAAACACGCAAATTAATTTTAGAGGATCAGTAGTGCATTACATTTTTGCATTTGATTAAATTGTAAATGTATACTAATTGAGTGAAAATCCAGCCTTTTAAAATATCTTTGTTTTGAGTTTAGGTGTCAGGTGAAAAACCTTAAGAGGATATTTACTAAAACGTTACTTAAATTGGCAAGGTACTATATACATTTCTTTTCAAATTTTATAACTTCTAACATTTCTCTACTTATTAAGCATATATTTATTATGTCAATAACAGCAATATAATCTGGAAGTTTTCATTTCCTCAGAATATTTATGAAAGTATTTTCATCAAAGAAAAGGTTTTCCTTTGACTACACATATGCTCTTTCCTATTTTATGGCTAATCAATTCTCTAAGTTAATTTAGTGAAAAGACCTATAAAATAACTCTATCAAAATCCAAGTATTGAAATATATGTCAATTAAAAAGGAACTCATTGAACGCATATAATGAATTTCCTTATAATCTAAAATTATTATTTGAGTTATTTTAGCATTCTTTATCCAAAACTCCAAAACCAACATTGAATTAGAAATGGGTAAGTAACAAAATGACTAAGCATTATTTTCAAACACTGTACTGGATTCTGAGTTGGGTTATGTAGAGAGTGAAATGTGTGATCCTACCCTCCCTCTGATATATTTTACAAGGGGCTACAGTCTTAACACACCCCAGTGCAAACACCCAAATCGTCAATTCAACCACAGCAAAAATAAAGTCATACAAAGGTCAGAGATGAATCAATAGACTTCATGTAATATGGGGGCTGATAAGTTGAATTTTAAATATTTTTTAGAATAAAGTGTTTTCCTTTAAGTGTTAACAAGTCTTGCTTCTAGGGAAATGGGCATTTGCAAATCTTGAGGAAAGCTGCTCTTTTCTGAAACTCTGCTCTAAATGCTTTTGAAAAATGCTGAGAATGTTTTCACAGGAGCTAACTTCTCTAGTTAAAAGTGGGATGGAGATTTTTATTCATTTTGTTGTGAAGATCGGTGTGGGTAGCAGGACTCTCATGAATTCTAACAGGCCTGATGGATGTCATCTGACACGAAGAATATACATTAATTTAAAAAATCATTTCAAAGGATGTCTTTTTATTTTTTATTTTAGTGTCAGTTTTTGTTGTTTGCTCTTTAAACAAGTGCATCGGACTCAATATCTGAGCATTGTCTTATGGGAGAGCTGGTAAAGGGGTGTCAGGGTGAGGCGTGTGGCTGCATCTGGAGTTCCTGATGACCATCATGGGGCCATGGCATGTCAGCAATGGGATGACTGCAGGTATGTTTGTGTGTGTAAGCTGGTGAGGGTACAGGGAGGGGTTCAAAAAAAGCCAAATTATGAAAGAACGACATTATTCTAAGTCCAGATGAATTTTGCCATAGACAACGTTGACTACTTTGGAATTGTGTCCTTCCCCAGAACCAGCGAGGAAATGCATGGTGTTTTGGCATCTGTAATGGAAAAAGAGCAATATTCAGCATCTCCAGGTTTCCATTTATTCCAAACCTCTGAGGTCAGTGATGAAAATAGTGTGGCAGTGTACTGGGAGCCTCAGCACCAGTGGTAGTTGTGGCTCCTGACGAGGACAATCTACAAGGCAGCTGAACTGAACCCTGCGGTTGACTGATGTTCTAATGTTTTTAAAGTGTTGCAGAAAGGATCTGAAAATGGAGGAATGAACTGGGCAGTAACCTCACCTCTGGGGCTCAGAAGCACTTTTTTCAAATGTTAAATGAAATGCAGCCTTATCTTGTATCTCAATCTGGTGAGGTGTTTCAAATTCAATAAACATACCTGTCAGTGTATATGGACTCTACTTATCAAAATTAAGTTCCTTAGAGTTATTAGCCTAAGATGCAATTAATTTAAATGTAATCAAATAAAAGACACTTTCTGAGCGTGTCTTGCAAGCCGAGAGAAGAGAAGCAGTAAAGGCATGGAGGCCGGAACACGTCAGCCACAGCAGGTGATACAGGTGGTGGGTTTGGGGGTGGTAAGGGTGGTTAGAGCCTGATTCTAGAAGAGCTTGTATAATACAACTGGGCATGTGCACAGGCTAAATTTAATCGCTCATAAATGAATCTTGGATTTGCAGGTGTCATGATGAAAGTCATTC